TTGGTTGGATGATTGATTGATTGGTTGGTTGGTTGGTTGGTTGGTTGGTTGATTGATTGGTTGGATGATTGATTGATTGGTTGGTTGGTTGGTTGGTTGGTTGGTTGATTGATTGGTTGGATGATTGATTGGTTGGTTGGTTGGTTGGTTGGTTGATTGGTTGATTGATTGATTGGTTGGTTGGTTGGTTGGTTGATTGGTTGATTGATTGGTTGGTTGGTTGATTGATTGATTGATTGATTTGTTGGTTGGTTGATTGGTTGGTTGGTTGATTGGTTGGTTGGTTGGTTGGTTGATTGATTGGTTGGATGATTGATTGATTGGTTGGTTGGTTGGTTGATTGGTTGATTGATTGATTGGTTGGTTGGTTGATTGATTGATTGATTTGTTGGTTGGTTGATTGGTTGGTTGGATGATTGGTTGGTTGGTTGATTGATTGATTGATTGGTTGGTTGGTTGATTGACAGGTCCACGCCCCCCTGCCAGCTGACTAAATCACTTCCCCACCAGGTAGTGAGGTCCAATCAGGAGAAGCCTTATCAATGATGTGATATTATTTAGCTGGTTTCTTTTTAATATTCTTTTAGTGACGTGTTACACTAATATTAACGCTGATGTTTGTTTGTTTGTTTGTTTGTTTGTTTGTTTGTTTGTTTGTTTGTTTGCTCGTGCAGAGGAGCGTGCACAGCGGCCCCGCCTGCAGCTGAAACCTCGGACCGTCTCTGAACCGCTCAACCAGGTCGCCAACCCGAACTCCGCCATCTTCGGCGGAGCAAAGCCGCGAGAAGAGGTGATCTCCAGAGAAAAACCATGAGACTGTCGGCCTGGAGGGCCGGGGGAGGGGGGAGGGAGGGGGCGGAGTCAACAGGTGATTGAACTTTGACACAGAAAAAGCGAACAGGGTGAATGAAGTGACAGCATTGCTCCAGACAGACGGCGAGCAGGCGCCTCCTCCTCTTCTTCTACTTCCTGTTTGAGTTCAGTTATTTATTCTTAGTGAAGCTGAAACACACTCTGATCAGTAACACACCTGTAAACACAAACACAGCAAGCAGCTCGTGAATGCATGTAAGCCCCGCCCCCTCACCTCCACCTTTGCTTACTGTAATGTCATACCTGCTCCGTCCTGTAGCCCCGCCCCCTGCAGGGTAAACCTGCATCACTCTTTTGATTTTTTTTAGTCATTCAGCTGAAGCCCCGCCCCACAGCCTGATTGGTCACATCATGGACGGCCTTGTTTTCATGTCGTCCAATCAGATCCTCCAGCTTTATTCAACTGTTTGCCCTGAAACCTGATGGACTGCTTACAATCCTGGGGGGCGGGGCTTCAGCTGCAACAGGATGGACTCCCGGCAAGCTCCGCCCCCTCAGATCTCTGCAGCAAACCCATCTTAATGATGGGGTTCTTTTCCCATGATGCACTTGTTCAGGTGACAGGTAGAGGKCTGAGAAATGATGCGTTCACTGTCCGCTGGACTTGTCTTGATAAAAGCTGCCTTCAGGTTCACTGAAAAAAGAAAAAAGAAAAAAAATTCCTAAAAACTAAAAATCTCATTTTAACAGTCGGATAAAATTAGCTAAAGTTTATATTTTTAAATATCTATATCTGAAACCAAAACGTCCTACGTTAACCTGAACGCAGAGCAGGTCCCACAGAGACTGCTGAGGGGCGTGGCCAACTGACAGGACTCCTCTGATTGGTTGTCTCAGCTGTGTTTTCAGGGTTTTTTCTTGTCCAATCAGCTTTCAAGATGAGACCTAATCACCCAGTCCCAGAGGAGAGCTCTGCTCTGATTGGTCGGTTGGTCCACTGAAGATGGTTCCAGGTGGTTTTCTTTGATCTTTTAGCTTTAATTCAGCTGAAGATCTGAGTTCAAACATCAGGACACGTTGGGTCCTGAACCATGGAGCAGCTCGTTTTCAGGACGTCACATTACATACAAGCAGGAAGTAAAGATCCTTTCATCACAAGTATTAGAAAATACTTAAATATTTAAATACTTATTTGATTCAGTTTCCAAAAAATCAGCCTGAACCAGGTTCCAATGCTGGACTGGTCCTGGTTCCACTTCCAGCCTGATCTGTACCTGCTACTTACCTGCTACTTACCTGCTACTTACCTGCTACTTACCTGCTACTTACCTGCTACTTACCTGCTACTTACCTGCTACTTATTTACCTGCTACTTACCTGGTACATATTTACCTGCTACTTACCTGGTACTTATTTACCTGCTACTTACCTGGTACTTATTTACCTGCTACTTACCTGGTACTTATTTACCT